AAATCTACAACAGCTGTAGCGGTGAAGGTGCTGCAAGGTAAGTTACAAAGAGTTATGGAATGGATGTTGAGTCAACCCGACTAGGAGAGAGAACTTTTCTTCCTGGTAAAGAACTTCTGTGAGGACCACCCTTAACCTTAATTAGCCACGTACAAAATTATCTTTAAATTGGAGGGTACCTGAAAACAATGGTTTACCAAGGCAGTAAAACGCTTAAGAGATAATATTAAACTATAGGGGAACAAAGATGGTTAAGGATGGAGAAGATTAACACGGATCACAAACGGTGAACGTGAAAAATTTAGGTTAAACTCTTCAAGATGGGCAAACCGTGACGTAGCTCCTTTAATGCCTTCAATACATAAGCTTTATAGAGTCGCTTGCACGGCGTTTGACGCTTGGCAATGTCTTGCATACCTGATTCTCGAAGATAGAAATAATGTAAGTAGAAACAAGATAACTTTTAATCTGGTGAGTTGGGCCTACAGTCCGGTTCAGCCCTGGCCAGGGCCATTATGTTATCATCATCAAAGATTGGCAGCCAGTGAGGCTGATGTGGACCTACAATTGACTAAAAAATGTGAAATAATAAACAAAATAATTTATAAAATTACCATATGGTAGCTAAATGTACAACTGACCACAATCAGATTCAAAATAAATTCAGTATCAAATCAATAAAATGAAGTCCGTAGACTTTCATAGCTATCATGGATACTTCGAATGAGAAGCTATTTATGTTTTGTGAGAGCCTACGTAAAATATTTTTAAAACTGTCTTTTTGAACGTTTGCCATGATTGAAATTTACCAGCCTATTAATTAAGTTCCAGATTACTGGACCTCTGTATTGTGCTGATTCCTTTCCCACTTTGTATTTAAGCTTCACCCTAGGGGTTTCAATCTGTAAACCGCCCCTACGAGATGGTCTGTTTTTTAACCTCAAATTAAAAGGGTGATATAAGGCTTTATCATTCAAAACATCATGCATCAGGAGAAGAAGTCTTCTTTCATATATATATAAAATTGGCAGCCAATTTAGCTTTGCAAGGCTTTCATCCTGGTAGATAACTCGTACAGCTATTGCTTGAACAGGGTTTAAAGAGTCCGTAATAGAAGAACTGCAGTTCCCCACACCACAATACCGTTAGTTACCGCTGGTAAAATAGATTTGAAGTAAATCTCCTCCAGCACGTACTTTGACGGGAAGCTTCCTCATCTTTTTTAATGCGCCCACTTTCTGGGCAAAAGACTTCTTCACATGGTCTACATGCATTGCCCATGTCAGCCTATTGTCAATGACTAATCCCAAACAAATTTGGTGTGACTCGATAAGTTTCGGCCACTGTGTCACTTTTAAGGTAACTACACTTAAAATTTTCACAGACGATCCTAGTCCTGAGCAGAAAAGCGATTTCTTAGATGAGATTAAACTGATGAAAGCTGTTGGTTCACACAAGAACATCGTGAGTTTGATTGGCTGTTGTACCAAGTCCACACCAAATTTCCTCGTCGTGGAGTTTGCAGAGAAAGGAGACTTGCTTTCTTATTTGAGAGAACGAAGAACAAAGGTAAAAGTTGTAGCATATCTGTGTAGTGTAGTATAGAAATGGTTTGAAAAAAGTGTCCCATGATGGACATAAAGGATTGTTATCATTCGATGCAATTTTCTTCCTTTTCATCGGCCGATTGCCAACCACAGGACCTGCAAATGACTGCCTACAAATAATGATCTGCTCATGCGTAGTACCGTCTAAATGCGTTTTGCTGCAAATAACATTCTGCTCACGCGTAATTAAAACCATGATCTCTGGTTAAAAAAAAGTATGCAAGATTGCTCCCCTAAGCTGTCAGAGAGTGATTTAAATAAGAAAACAAATTTGGTGATCAAATGATTAAACAATGATTCAATTCGGTTATCACACAATATCGTTATTTGTCAGTGTCTCTCGGATCACCAAATTTATCTGCTCTCCACTGACAAATCACGATATTTTGCTCAACCTCGTCCAATAACTGTTTATTGTTAGGACAGCTGACGTCAAATTATCGGACTGCTCGTGCTTTGTACTGATTGGAGAATAACAATTGGAAGATGTCCAGATAGTACCGCAGGTACTTGTTCTTCGACATCAAAGTACAGGCGGCTGAATTCTGAAATAAACAATATTAGTATCACCCAACTAGTGGACTAATGCAAATCCTGCATTTTGATTGGCTACGCTACTAGGGGACTATTGGTAATAGTCCTCGAGTAGCGAAA